ATGGGAATGGATGTATTCTTTGACATATGTATCAGGATTGAAGCTTCTGTGTAAAAGAAATGTGGCCATGGCAGGTGTGTTATCTTCTGTATGTAACATGACAGGTATCGCTGGAAGTTACATTTTCCAGGAAGCTATCAGCTAACTGAAGGAGGAATCCACACAAGAATATTTAGATGTGCAGTAAGGGATTAAAAAGATTTCTTTTATTTTGACAGCATATCAAAAACACAGAGGAGTTACAAAGCCAAACAGGTTTATTTTGCAACATTTGGATCATATGGTGCCAACCTTCTGTAAAGCAAATCAACCATAAAGGGAAAACAACAACCTTACATTGATTCATTGCCTTTTACGTTGAGAGGACATCTCAAAGTGTCCTCCAGAACCCAAATGGGTCTCCAGAAAGTAGGGACAGAACAGCTGAAAGATCGCTCCCCAATGATAGGGTCATGAAGCAAGCCAGTGTTGCTGAGGGGGAGCAGCAAGATCACAAGAGGCCACAGAGGGAGGGAACAGAGAAGATTGACATCATAAAGCATTTAAACTCAATTTCCAGAAGACATTAATTGTTGGTAAAATTAATGTGTTTATTACAGTCTAATCCCTGATTAGCACAGAGTGTGGTTTATTTTAGAGGGTCTACTTTTACTGAAGGAATCCTATTAAAAGTCCTGTTAACCTGTAACTCTGTCCAGAAGTAGATTGTGTTGAGTGCGGAGTTCCCACAGGTTGGTATGATGTTCTTCCTGTTACCTGAAGGAGTCCTTTATTTGTGCAACTCAGGTTCCTTATTAAGGAATCCTGTTACGAAATAGCGCAAACTAGATCCAGTATGGCACTCTCTCTTATAAAAGGAATGAAGGAAATCTATAATGTGCCAATTAAAGCACAAAACAATTGCAGGTCATAAACGTTAAAGGCAGTTTTGAGATGAAAATGATTGTAAGTTCTGCATAAATAATAAACCAAAAAAAAATTCAGCTTCATTTATCTACATTTAGACTTAACAAGATTCTCTTTACTGCGTGAGTTCATTTTAAGAATATATGCATGTACTCGTAAATAACATCCATACATCAAAGATTAAATATTATCCAACTTTACTAAAAGATGCATGCAATTTGATACAGGACATTGAAATGACAGCTTTATATCTATGTAAACACAGAGAAAAAACAGTTACATCCAAAATCATCATCACGTACAATGATTAAATACAAAAACTGATTCACCAAGTAAAATTTTCAGAACAACCAATCTGAAAAAGCTGTCCTAATGCTTATAGGGAATCATTGTGTGCAGCATGATTCTAGTGGGGGAATTGGAAACCTAGGTCAAGGGCAAAGGCCCAAAGTGCAGGACCAAGTTGGAAAAAAACCACAAAAGTGAAGTGGTGAGGTAACAGCAAGCAGGAATTTAAAAATTTGCAGGAGAAAATTATGTGGTCCCGTGAAGGAATGCGTTAGACTAAGCGACTGCAAAATGAGCCTTGATATGAATGAAGTGAGAATGGAGAGTGGCGGAGGATTGTCTTATTTGAAATTGTGAAACAAAGAACGTTCAAAAGAAGCAATGAGCAAACTGATACATAGACAGGAGAGGATGCAACAGAGACACAGAAATTTGAAACCAGAGGCTGGGGAAGAAACAATTCCAAGACAGCACATTTCTTGTAACCGGTCCAAGAGAGGTGTTAGAACAGTATTCCCAGATAAGGCAGCAGTGTTTAAATCTTAGACATATTTAGGCAGTTAAGAATTGCTGAGGGGAAAAGTGTTGGCACAAAAGAGAAAATCATGCTTCTTGAAAGCACGTTAAGCAAAGGTTGAGCCAGCAAAGATACTGCTGTCAGACTTGCAAAAACACATAAAACACGCAGAACAAAATGTAAAGAAACAAGATATCCAACAGCCCATCAAAGAACAAAGGTTTGGTGATTCAGCGTTATATTATGAGGTAAAATTTGTGGTAAAATGACAAAGCTCTAACTGATTTCAGTTAACACTCTTGACACACTTGCAAAGGTTTTGACAAGTGAAAATAAGACTATGTTCAAGCTGAATGCTGCAAGTGATCTTGTTCATATTTGCAGCCAGGTTAGTAAAATTGTACTAGTCTGCGTACGTGACCCCACCTCACAGCCCGTTCAGGAAACATGGTGGGTCAAGAAATTACCATGTAACTTTAAGCCACAGGCCCCATGATATGTTCATTATGTTCCATAACCAAGTAGGTATTCGTATCTGTTTGAAACCTCTTACCGTTGCACAAGGCTTTGTTTCTGAATGCCATTTGCAAGCAAACTGATTAAGGTCTGGAGAAGCAGTCTGACTGCAGCATTGGTGACCCCAATTGAATTCTCATCATCCAATTTCCCCTTTAAATCAATGGGAAGCAGAAGCTGCTACTTCTATCTTGTGCATGTGCTGAGAGAAGAGCGATGGCCTGAGCTTGCAATATAGCAGTGGGTCAGAACAGCTTTATTGTATTACGAAAATGATTGAGACTGCTGTACTTATCTGTTACTAATTACTGTAACCCAGTTAAATTCTCATCCTTCAACTTAATGGCTTATCAGCATTTATAAACTCAATATGGTTTAATAGTATAGGTTTATAAATTGCAATTTTGATTACTAATGGAAAATGACAACCTGTGCTATATTGTTCAATATTGATCAGATCAGAGTATTACTTGACATGGTACAGGAGACAAGATCCGATGAAGATTTTAAAAATAGCCTCAGACCATTTTGTACGTCAGAAATTAGAATATTTCCAAACTGATTTAAGAAATGTACAATAATTAAACTAATCTTTATACTCTATGATTTTTTTCAGTGCAAACAAAGACTTGGCTTCAATTTTAAAACAGGAACGTGTTCTCCCCAGGATTAAACATATATGGTTTTATATGTGACTGTCAAAAACAAAGAGATTACTTCAGTGATCCGAAGAATGCATTTGCAATGCTGGTGTTAAGTTTCTTTGAAGTTTTTATCATGATAACACAATTTAGTTCGAAGAAATTCCCCATTTCATGTTATTTCCGATCATCATATAACTATTTATTTATATATTATTTAAATAAATGTGTGTGCGTATATATTATACATTCAGTACCATGAGATTAAATCAAAAATCCTTTCTGGCTCCAAACAATTAATTCAGAAAGTCTGATCCAGTTATATAAATGATTGTCTGCAGTGTCCTTATTCAATATAACCCCTGGTCAGAGGCCTGGGAATAGGAGCATTGGCTTCTGTATTTAATTAAAGAAAATAACTAAATGAAAAACAGGAAATGAATAATCTAGTTTAATCTATGGATATGATTCTCAAAACTGTGATGGTCAGATTTTTTTGTTCGCATTTTACAATAATGGACACTATTTGATTGTTCTTTTGAGATTTCAGGCAGAATTAGCTAATTTAAAGATCTTATTCGACTATTTGGAATAAAGGCAATTCCTCTTAGTGTCCTAGTTAACAAGCCTTCAAACACCTCATAGCTGTTTTTGGCCCTTTCTGGTGCAAATCAGTGCTGTATTTGCTTCCAAAAACAAAGTCTCTACACTTAACAGTAAATACTTTTGAAGCTATTTGAGCCATTTCAATGTGATAATACACTATAGAAGCGCAAACTCATTTAAATTGTTAAAACCTAGCCAGTAGATTTAACAAAATATTGCTGAATGATTACTTTACTATGATTTAATAAATAATTTTGTTTATCTCAATAATTTTACTGATCTTTATAAGAACAGAACCGTAAGAACAGAGGCAATAATAATCCTTAGCTTTGATATAGGTCTTACAATGAAATGACTTAAAGTGCTTCACAGTATATTTCTGTAAAGGGCAGCGATTGTATTTACAACAATTGCGGCAACAAATTGTTGGACAGTAATATCCCACAAACAGCCATGAAGTGAATGACTACATTTTTACCTGGAAGCTTGATGGCTCAGACACCAGGAGAAATTTCCTTGCCTTTTCGAATAGGGTCATGAGATTTTTAATGCCCATCTGAAAGGCAGACAGGACCTTGGTTTAACGTCTCATACCAAGGATGGCGCCTCCTGACAACACAGCACTCCCTATAGCCTGAGCAATGAGATCAACGTCCCAACATAGTGCCTGAACCATCAACTGTCTGACTCAAAAACAGAGTGTTGCCAACTGAGCCAGGCTGACATCAAGCTGATGCACGATATATTTCACCTGTTGTTGCGTTCGCAAAAGCACACACAAAAAAAACACATTGCATTGGTGGTAATGAATGGGCTATAGATCTCCAATGGCCTGAAATACATTTTAATGTTTCTAGAACCACAAAGGACGTTTAAAAATCAAAAAGTAAAAGGATTTTGAGTGAGTTAGTCACACCTCCCCTGTATTTTAATTGGGTCCAGAGTATTTCAAATTCTTTTCATAATTCTTTGCATTTCATTTGCTAATTCCCAGTTCATATTATGTGAATGTAAAAGGTGCAGTATTTTACCCTGTAGTCATCTTTAGAAACCAAAACAAACCTGTGGAGGACACTAAGTTGCCTTAGGAAGCCAAGCTATAAATAATGGACAGTTATTTGCATAAGATAACAACCTTATTTCACTGGACTTTGAACCCAGTTTAAACAAGCTGTGCCAGATAATGGAGGTGTACAAGAATTCAAGATTGTGATGGGCAGTACGTAAATAGAAGACATTCAACTTTTTTCACAAACACAACTTATTGAAAATGAAGAGTGACAGCTAATCCTGATTAATGTGGATCTTCCATAAGTACAACGTAAATGTGAACATTGAATTAATTGATATCAGTGCATCTGAATTCCAAATTTAGATCAGAAACATCTGAAGGTTCCTGATCAAGCCTGTGCACAATACAGGCGACCATTATATTGCACATTGGAAAGTTTCTGGATGAAACAGAATTAATGCAGCCAGCTTTACTGAAACAGCGTTCAAGTTTAAAACTATTTAAAAGTTTAAAGAAACCAGTGAGAAATTTGTTTAATGCTGGTACTTCCTTAAGTTAGTTACAAATATTATATATACTGTACCTGTATTAAGAAGAAACGTTTCATAACATTCAAAAGCTAAAACATACTGCCAAAAAATTGTTGATCTTTAGTTACTCATTCACACACACATACTGACACAGGCTGACTTTGACCTGGTAGGCTTCAAGTTACTTTTGGCTGTCATCCTCCCATTCTACAAATGTCAATCATTTTCATTTGTATATGTATTTCACTGATGTTGGAAAATCCAGGTTTATGAAACATCAGGAATGGACTAGTTCACGTAGTCAGCTTTGCTGAAATTTACTGAAAGTTGAAGCACATTTAGTATTGTTGTTCTCCAAAAAATCTTTAGGATTTCCAGTCAAAAATCTGTTTGTGGCAGCAAATTAGTGGGAACAAGTTCAAATAGCTGTCTTCTGATATATTTCAAATGGTTTAATAGTTCAAGTTTCAAGTGTAAACAAAGTCTTCATATAACTACAAACTATGGCGTCAGTTTAAAATGAGCTTTTGGCATTTACTGATGCCCGAACAGCTAAAGATTACTTAATTGGTGAATAAATACAGGTCTCAGGAACTATGTATGGACACATACAGTATTTTAAATGTTTGCCGATTATAGGAAACATTGGTATTACTTATATATTAATTCTTAAATTAAACAATTGAAAGTGAAATGAAAGTGTCCTAAAGAGGATTTTGATGAGTACATTATTATTGCTACAAGACAAGGGCTAGCAATACTTCAGCCATTTTGTATTACACCTGCCATAACTACAACAGTGAAGACCATTTGCCACATTTACCAGTTACCAGTAACATTGGAGCTTCTATTCTTTCTGGAATGTAAAATAATCCGCCTACACTATCTAATCCACATTAATCCTATCAGAAAGGGCACTGCTTTTGCAACCTGGTGCAGTTTGTATAGAATCAATATTCCATCAGAGAAGTTTAAATATCTACTGTCAAATTATCCAGTTCGTTGACTCCATCAATCACAATGAAAAGCGGGCAAATATCCCACTGATTCTTGCAGATCCAGTGTTGCTCCTTATACCGCTTGGATAAAAGCACCGGATGCTTTTTTATTTCAGGTTTTATTTCTACTGAACACACGTTCCCCTCGGAGCGTGAGATGTTGTAGCTGGTACTGTAGCACTTCTGTGTCTGCAGGTTCCTTGATGTTCATTTTATCCAGGTTTAGGTAATCCAAGGATTTTGACTGGGCCCTCTTACCCTTAATGAGACAAAGTGGCAAAGGGCCCCGCAGACATCTGCTGGGTTCGAAGGACAATGACTTGACGGTTCTCTCTCCTGAACTTGGCATCCTTCGTCGCCTTCTCCCATTCGCGGCTGGGATCTCGTACGGCTGATAGTATTGATTCTTGGTTCTGTATACTCGGGAACTTCGTGTCAATCCCACCTCCCGCTGCTTGGGATGTTGGCTGGGCAGAGCCTCTGCTACACTTCCCTCACTACCTGACCACCTTTGAGCCAACTTTAAAAGCTCTTCACCTGTAGCAAAACCAACTAAGAAGTTGGTGTCCATGTGAAGGATCTGATAGCCGGACACAGTGCGTTTGATGGGCGAGCAGGGAGTGCTGGAGCTGCGAGGCCTCTCAGGCTCAGATTTGCCAGCAGAATTCAGATCCACAGCAGGCGCTGAAAGGACAGACATAGCTGCCCTGGAAATCCCTCCGAGATCCACTTCCATTCCCCAAACGTCAGCTGTTAGACCAAAGTACAACACAAGACTTATTAGGATGCTAACACTGACGAGCACAGTCATTTAACAAGGTTAAAGACATGGACACAATTTGTGCAATTTTGCCTCTTAACAGTACCATATGTTTTAATCAATAACTGGGAAATCTTTAGCTCCTTGCTAAAACAACTCTGAAGAGTCTGAGTGATAATATAACCAGGGGAATGAGCACCTGGATACAATCTCAATGTCAGACACATTATATAAGAACATAAGAAATGCTAGACGAAGAAAGACCAAGGTCCATCTAGTTCCCCTTCCAACTTCCTGGCAGTCACATGCACATATGTCCCAAACTACCTATATACTATATCTCATAAGGTTATTTCCTAAAATAAAACTATCTGTTTGAGAGAATCAACACTTCTTGCTTCAACTGTCTCCCTAAGGACCCTGTTTCATTGGTTCACTGTTCGCTCACTGAAATAGTGTTTGCGTAGATTTGTTCTGAATTTCACCCCCTTCAATCGTAGGCTGTTAAGTATATAAGTCGAACAAAACCAGTTTCAGTATCAAGGCTGCCCTTGAGCTAGATAATAGCCCCATAAATAGGAACTACTAATACTATGGTTTACCTGCACCCAAATGGGGCACAGTAACTTGGGGCGTTCGCCCAACGTGAAAGGTGCATAATCAAATGTAATTTTGTATTGTATTGTAATAACAATAACGAACTCCAAACCCCATCACGCCAGTCCTGCCAGGCTCTCTTGATCCGTCACAGATGGATCCTCACGCTCACCTACAAATCACTTTGTGCTTTCATACCTCTGTACATCTCCAACTTGCTCACATCCCACTCCTCTACCTGCCCCTTTCACTCAACTGCCTTGGGACTTCTGTGCATTCCCTGACTTCTATGCTCCACCATTTGTGGTCGTGTCTTCAGCATCGATTCTCTGAATATCTGGAACTCCCTGTCTCAATTCCTCAGCCTTCCTTCAAATTGAACCTGAAGATTTCTCTTTGACCATGCCTACCATCATCTTCCCTTGGGTCAAACATTGCCATTGATCAGTCTCTGGGAGACTATCCTGCGTGACAGGCACTATATAAATGCAAGTTGTGATAGTTTATGATTTTGCTCCATTCAACTGTAATATATTTTAAATGTACCAAAAATAAACAAAAGGTTCATTCCGTTGTTCCAGGATCATTCAGTTCATCTGTAATTTTTTAACCAGAGATTTTGCCAACGTCCTCTGTCCTGATTGTGTGAAGTTGCTAAAAGCTGTATTTATAATGTGGGCATGTTTGCAAAAGAGAAACAAGCCAATTACAAATAAACCCATCCATTTAAGAGGTGAAAAAGGCAGATGCCATTTGTACAAATTAATTAAGAGGAATTGGGGTGAATCTTGCAGTCTATATTTCGAGATCTCTTTAAGTCTCAAATATGAATTGTCAGGATGTTCTTGAAGTGGACAGGTCCCACCCACCATTCTCAAGGCCAACAGCCTGAACCAGGATCTTGCAATTATCTTTTGGTTCATCGGTTGGTAATCTTTACTTCAGTTTTACTAAACTTTACTAAAACTCAAGAGTAAAGCCGTAATTTTGCGAAGCAACAGTTCAAAACTGTGATCCCCAAGCCAGAAAACAAATACACATCATAATAACAAGAACAATCTTTGCATCTGCTATAGCTCCTTTCATATCAGGAGGACATTTCAAAGCACTTCACAGGATTTGTTGTGAAGTGCATTGACTGTGTATTTTATAGGTGAATACAACAACCAATATTAATACAGCAATGTTCCACAGTATCAAGAATGGTGTCAAGGGGGGAGGCAGGAGGCAACCCCTAGTATATCCAGGTAATCCATTCTGGATGCTTAAAGAATCTCTAAATTTAGGACCACAAATTTGGCCCTACTATTTCAACACTTTGGAACTAAACTCAATAGGATAGGATGCAAGGCTTTAATAATAATAATAATCCTTGCATTTGATATAGCGCTTTTCACGTCGGGAGGACGTCCCAAAGCGCTTCACAGAACACACTGTAAAGTGAATTAACTGTATATTTGTGGGCGAACGCGGCAGCCAATTGCGCACAGCAATGTCCCACAAACAGTCGTAGATTGAAAATGACCAATTTATTATTGTTTTTGGTTTTGGAGGGATTATTATTAGGCGTGTGGAGTAAGGAAACTTGCCCAAGGTTTCGCCCTGCCTGGAATTGAACTCAGGTCTCTCGCTTGCAAAGCGAGTGCTCTAACCACTGAGCTACAGGACTCCACTTTATAATCAGGAAAAAGACTTAATTGGATAATTTTAAAAATGATGAATGAAGTCAAACCCTCCAGAGGAGACTGTATAGACCACGAGAGCTTTGAATAAAGGTGCTTCACCCATTTGATCACAATTCTTTCTGATAACCCATTCCAACTGAGTATTCTGTGTGATGAAATACTTCCCAGTATCTGTCCTAAAAATTGTCCTGCACAACCTTGAAGCCGTGCCTCTTGTCCTGCTGCCTGTGCATGTCCTAAAATATTGTTCTGCGATTACACTCTTTCCAACAAGCACCAAATGACAAACTAACAAATAACTTGTATTTATAAGTTAGCAGGACAGCGTTTCGGAGTGCTTAACAGTGACAAATCTGACCCTGAGCTAGGGAGAGAAGGGATGAGATTGTAGGCACAGTCGAAGAGAAAAGTCTTCGGGTGCAAGGTGAAGACAGGCCAGGAGGGGAGCAAGGCAGAGGGTTTGAGGCAGAAAGTTCCATATTTTCGGGGCATAGTGGCTTGAAGGCACAACCGATGATGATGGAGCAGAGGGGATGAGGGACGTGCAGGAGGCCGGAGCCAGCTGAGCAAAGAGTAGTGAATTTGGGTGAAAGCAGGTCAGAGAGGTAGGGAGGTACCAGGGCATGAAATAATTTGTACACAAATATCTTGAAATTGATTTGTCTGGAATAGGGAGCCAGTGGAGTCTGGACACCGGAAAAATTGAGGCTGGAGATGACGAATGAATGAATAAGGGTTTTGGTTGCATTGGGTGTGAGATAATAATAATAAGCCTTGTATTTGATATAGCTCTTTTCACGTCTTCTAGACATCTCAAAGCCCTTCACAGAACATGCTGTAAAGTGAATTGACTGTATATTTGTGGGCAAAGCGCAGCAGCCAATTGCGCACAGCAGTTTCCTTACTCCACACGCCTAATAATAATAATCCCTCCAAAACAAAACAATAATAAATTGGTCATTTTCAACCCACAGACGCCGTGGATTGAAAATGACCAATTTATTATTGTTTTGTTTTGGAGGGATTATTATTATTAGGCATGTGGAGTAAGGAAACTTGCCCAAAGTTTTGTCCTGCCTGGAATTGAATCCAGGTGTCTCGCTTGCAAGGCGAGTGCACTAACCACTGAGATTCGGTTGCAGGCGGGCAATATGGCAGAGTTGGAGGAAAGCGTTCTTCTACAGAGGCTGGGTGTTGGGTAGGAAGAACAGCTGGGAATTAAGCCTTGGTTGCACATAGGTTCAGTGAGTCTGAACCTGTCCCATTCAGCATCTAATATATCTCTATAAAGTCCCCTCTGAGATGCCTCTTTTCAAGGTTGAAGAATTTTTTATAAAAATGATAATAATCCTTCATTTGATCCGTTCTTTGGAGGAAACGATAAACTGAGGTCCCGTCTGCCTGGATGTTAAAGACCCCGTGCCACTATTCAAAAAGAGAAGGGAGTTTCTCCTGGTGTCTTGCCAACAAATCCCCCAAATACAATTGGTCAGTCAATCCATGGCTGTTTGTGGGACATTGCTGTGTGCAATTGGCTGCTCCATTTCGTCCACAAAATATAGTCAACTCACTTTACAGTATGTTCTGTAAAGCGCTTGAGACTTCTCAAAGATGTGATAAGGCGCTATATCAAACGCAAGGATTATTATTATCATATACAGTAAAGTGGATTGTCTGTGTATTTTGTGGGCAAAATGTGGCAGCCATTTGTGCACAGCAATAATAATAATCCTTGCATTTAATAAAGTGTCTTATCACATCTTCTAGACGTCTCAAAGTGTTTCACAGAATAAACTGTAAAGTGAATTGACTGTATATTTTGTGGGCGAAATGTGGCAGCCAATCGAGCACAGCAGTGTCCCACAAACAGTCGTGGATTGAGTGAAAAAAAATTGTTTTATTTTTTAAAATTTATATTGAAAGAATTATTACTCCCGAAAAAGCGATCCATCAATTGACTAACAACCGGGTTCCTACTTACTGCTCGGTAAACAGATGCGAGTGGAGTAAGGAAACTTGCCCAACATTTCGCTCTGCCTGGGAATCAAGCCCAGGACCTCTCACTTGCGAGGCGAGTGCTGTAACTAATAAGATACAGGGCTCCACAATGTCCCAATAACAGCCATGGAGTGAGTTACTAATTCTATTTGGGGATGGTTGGACAGGACATCGGAAGAAACTCTCTTCTCCTTTCGAATAGTGCCACGCGATCTTTAATGTCAACCTGAACAGGCAGATGGGACCTCAGGTAACGACTCATTGAAGCATCTCTCCAATATTGGGGATCAGCCTTGGTCTCTACTCTGCACTGTCTGTAGGGCCTTTTGTTGCAGTGATCAATTGTACAATTCAAGAATGATTTTGTGGAGTCCTGTAGCTCAGTGGTTAGAGCACTCGCTTTGCAAGCGAGAGAACTGGGTTCGATTCCCGGCAAGATGAAACTTTGGGCAAGTTTCCTTACACCACACGCCTGATAATAATTCCTCAAAAAAAACGATAATAAATTGGTCATTTCAATCCACGATTCTTTATGGGACACTGCTGTGTGCAATTGGCTGCCGCATTTTGCCCACAAATATACTGTCAATTCACTTTACAGTCTATTCTGTGAAGCGCTTTGAGACATTTAGAAGATGTAAAAACGCAATATTAAATGCAAGGATTATTATTATCAAAATCTAATCCTGCTATGTAGTCCAGCATACTTCTTGGTTTGTTTATTGCTGCCATACACTACTTGGACATAGAGTGCAATGACTCACCTAGCAAATTCCTACTTTTTAAGGTCTATTTTTACTTCCTACGTGTAGTGCCCTGAATTTACCTCTGTACTCAATTTCAATAGTCCATAATTAATTCAGGTAGATATCTTGTGGAGCTGTTTCACAAATCTGCCTCCACAGTTCTCCCTGCCTTGCAAATGTAACTATCATGCAGTGAATCTTCAATTCTAGGACATTTGTGTATACGAGGATCATGTGGAGTCCTATGGCTCAGTGGTTAGAGCACTCGCTTTGCAAGCGAGAGACCTGAGTTCAATTCCAGGCAGAGGGCGAAACCTTGGGCAAGTTTCCTTACTCCACACACCTAATAATAATCCCTCCAAAACTAAAAAAAAACAATAATAAATTGGTCATTTTCAATCTATGACTGTTTGTGGGACATTGCTGTGCGCAATTGGCTGCCGTGTTTGCCCACAAATATACAGTCAATTCACTTTAGAGTGTATTCTGTGAAGCGCTTTGGGACGTCCTCCCGACGTGAAAAGCGCTATATCAAATGCAAGGATTATTATTATTATATTATTATTATCAGGAGGTTTCCAGGATTAACTTGAGACATTCCACTCAATCTTTCTCACTTAAGATTTATAATCTCCAAATACAAGTTATATAACAGAAACAACAAGAATTCACGATTTGACAACGTGCCTTATTAATTCAGCAAAGTGATTACATTACAAACGTTTAATATTTTTGCTTTCTAAGAATATTTTTCAAATAAAAATCCAGGCAGATGGACATTGGGGAAAGTACCATGATTAGCAGTTGGAAAAGGATAAGAAAAATGATTGCTTGGGAGACTTCCGCCCAATAAATAAAGTTGTTTTGGGGGGGGGGGGGGGGCGGGGGAGAGAGTCTCCTCAGAGGAACTAACAAAGCTGAAAGAGAACAAAACTAGGTTGATATATGGTCTGCTGGTTTGGGTGGTGCTCACTCTAGACGGGCAATAGTGCTTTAAGGGGCACTTATCCTATTTAAACCCGACACCTCCAAACCAGTCTTTGGTCAATATGTGCGGTCTATTTCATGACCAACTGACTGCCCAGACGGGTGTTATGATTTTTAATACACGTTTTCAATCATTGACATATCTGCTCCATTTTCTGTTTAGCATTGAATAACCAATGATGTCATTCATGCACCGCCTTAGCCAATGCACTTGCTCACTGCTCGGATGAGGAAATCAGCAGCGAGTGAGCGTGCGCTGGAGGAAGAAATAGCAAATAAAAATGTTTTACTTCCTTCCGGCTGTTCTCCTTGCCCAATTTTTTTTTTAAAAAAATCATAACTAGTGGACTCTGGGCTGCGCTTCATTAACTCAAACCACATTTGTGGGCGCTTGACGGGTTCGAACATTGCAATTCTTACCTCTGATTTTGCCTGAATCCTTCTAAACCCAACCCTGGCAGTGACCAGAGGCTTGTGATGAACACTGAGCACACAGCATGCCCTTGTTCAGGCAGGTTTGGGAATGCTGCAGCTCAGCCCTGCATGTCATTGGGAATATCCTGTACAGTGGCTGCACACACAGACCATCAATAGACCACACACATAGCAGGAGAACCAGCCCTACAATAAATGCCTCCAGCACCACCCCCACCCCCCCCCGGTCCAGTCAGCGGCCTCTCCCCCCCCCCCCCCCCCGAGAAGGCTCTGTCCAGTCAGGTCTGAACTCACAAACACTGACCTGGAATATTCATTTCCCATTCTGAGCAACAACAAAACATCCAGACGCCCAAACCCCACCCGAGAGGAGGAGAGGCTGCAGGTACCCCAGCACAGCCCAGCACAGCCCAGCACAGCCCAGCACAGCCCAGCACAGCCCAGCACAGCCCTGCACAGCCCAGCACAGCCCAGCACAGCCCAGCACAGCCCTGCACAGCCCAGCACAGCCCTGCACAGCCCAGCACAGCCCTGCACAATACAGCCCTGCACAGCCCAGCACAGCCCTGCACAATACAGCCCAGCACAATACAGCCCTGCACAGCCCAGCACAGCCCTGCACAGCCCAGCACAGCCCTGCACAATACAGCCCAGCACAATACAGCCCTGCACAGCCCTGCACAATACAGCCCTGCACAGCCCTGCACAGCACAGCACAATACAGCCCAGCACAGCCCTGCACAGCACAATACAGCCCAGCACAGCCCTGCACAGCCCAGCACAATACAGCCCAGCACAGCACAGCACAATACAGCCCAGCACAGCCCTGCACAGCACAATACAGCCCAGCACAGTACAGCCCAGCACAGCACAATACAGCCCTGCACAGCCCAGCACAGCCCTGCACAATACAGCCCAGCACAATACAGCCCTGCACAGCACAGCCCTGCACAGCCCAGCACAGGCCATCCCTGCCCAGCCCTGGGGAGGATGGTCTGTGTCTCAGCCGCTCCCTCCCCCCCTCCCGTATCAAACCTCCTTTTGCTTTTTCAAAACCGGGTGGTGGGGTGTGGGGGTGGGGGTGGGGGGGGGAGAGGTTGGAGGGGGGGAGAGGTTGGGGGGGGGGGGAGAGGTTGGGGGGGGGGGGGGAGAGGTTGGGAGGGGGGGGAGAGGTTGGGGGGGGGGGGAGAGGTTGGGTGGGGGGGGGAGAGGTTGGGGGGGGAGAGGTTGGGGGGGGAGAGGTTGGGGGGGAGAGGTTGGGGGGGAGAGGTTGGGGGGGAGAGGTTGGGGGGGGGGGGAGAGGTTTGGGGCATTTGTGCAAATTGCCCCCAAAATAATAACAACAGCAATCATCGGGCACCACACTCGGGTGCGCGGGGGCAGCGCCGACACCAACCTGCGGTTCAGCTGAATCGCTGAGAGCTGCGGTCTGTGTGTGTGTGTGTGAGAGTGTGTGTGAGAGTGTCTCTGTGTCTTACCTCTGAACCAGTGGCTGCGGAAGTGCAGTGTCTGTGTCTGTGCAGTGGCAGTGGCTGTGGCAGTGCTGAGGGTGTAACAGGGGCTGAGTCCAGCGCAGCGCAGCGCAGCGCGATCTGTCACATGATTCTGATGTAAGCGACATGTCAGCAACTGGGAGCTGCAATCTGTCAGGGACTGAACAGGAGAGCAGCACTGACCCGGGGGGGGAGGGGTTAAACAGGGATTTTCATATTTATTTGGTAGTAAAACCAGGAGCAAATTTATTCCAATGCTTTTTCGTTCCTGTTCCTTCCAAATCAGAAATGCACTGTTCAAATCAATGCCCCCCCTCCCCACTCCCCCCCCCCACCCAAAAAAAAAATTAAATTAAGTCCAAGTTTCATTTTCTGCAAAATAAATTTCGAGCGCTGTTCGCTACAGTCCTCGAGTACATCCCGGGCCGTAAGAATGTTTTGCGTGATGATTTTAGATGTGTATTTGTAAAAACCCTCGATTCCAGGATCACTGACGGACAAATACAACTACTTGGGTTTATATAGCGCCCTTTCACGCAGGGTGGCATCCAGGAGCTCCTGCAAATATCAAGTCCTGGAGTGAGATCTACCCTTCTTCAGTTGAACGTCAGCAAGACTGGGGCTCTCCTTGGCAGGTTAATGTGATCAGCAACTTTTCACCTCATGCAACGACCACATTGGTCTGCACAGATTCTCACTCCACCTTCTTCAACCCCCAAATATTTTCGGACTCTCGGCTTTCCCTCACCTGCACAACTACCATTCGAAACCCCTCCTACTCCTAACAACTACATTCTCGCTCAGCTCAATCTATTCCCGAACTCCTAGCGGATCAAATCGAAGATCATCTTCAAATATCTCCATGGTCTCGCACCACCCTACCTCCTTTAGCTTCTCCAACTCTACCGTCCCAGCTCACAGTAGCCTGCTTTATGTCCCTTAACCAATCTGCCAACTTTCGGCCATTCTGCTCCTGGTCAATGGAACTCCGTCCCACCCAATCTTTGAAACGCATCTTAAGAACTATCTTTTTGAGGCTGCTGTCCTCAGCTTCTCTCCTGCTTGGGGTTACCAATCAGGCATTTGAAGTACTTTGAATCCAGTGACAAACTGGCTCCCTAAAAGGGCTTGGGATTGTGAGATAAAATAGTGAGGGGCAATCAGGAAATTTCCTGTACAGTCCGATGCTGAATGAGCCCCTTCCGAGTGTGGACCAGGTTAATCTGCCACTGCTGATAAATTTCCCACGATTGTCCAGTTAGGATCATCCGGGCCACCAGAGCTTGCAGGGCGCCAGGAGCTGAGGTGGAGCTGTGTAGATTGATGTTATCAGTGCCTGAGGTGAGAAGGCACTGGTAGGAGCCAAGCAGGAGAGCCTGTCAGCTTGACTTTAAACAGGAGACAGTTAGCTCTCATCCAGGCCTTGTTGTCCAACAACCAATCAGTCAGAACTGCAGTGGGCCTGGAATCAGCAGTGGGGGCAGTGACAGCATTGAGCGTCATCTGATTACATATGGAAGTTAACCTCATGCCTACAGATGACATCGTCGCAGGGGAGCGTATAGATATTATAGATGAGGAACAGAGGATGATCACTGCACATGACAGTCCTGAAACATTACTATTTTCACTTTACGGCTGTTTGTGGAACATTGCTGTGTCTAAAGTTAGCTGCCGCATTCACCCACAAAATAGTTAATGCACTTTACAGTATAGTATATCCTGTGAAGCGCATTGGGTTGTCCTATTGATGTTCAAGGCTCTATACCAAATGTAAGGATTGTTATTATTACTACAGACAAAAGAAACCTATCACTTCATTCAAATCTAAAGTCATTGATTAGATCACTGCTATATAATTACGCCTATTATTTTTCATTACAACTATGGAATTGGTGGGGTAGTTTTATTGGGTGGAATCCAATTGTAGCATTTAAAGTACAATCATATCCTTGCATATCATTTGTATTGGATCAGGGTGGATAATAATACACATATTAGATCAGATATGGAAACATTACTCATACAGTAACTTCACACATAAAACAATTTTTGCAAATGTATTTGTATTAATAAGGAGTAAATTCCATCTCTTGTTGGAGTTCAATGTTGTACAAATCAATCTATTAGTATCAATACCTAGAGGAGGGGAAGAAAAATAAAATGAGACAGATGCCCATGGAATTACTGTAGCTTTATCAGTTCACCAGTGAATTTAATCCAAATATTTCCAAAGAAAAGAACAGAGAATCCTACTAAGAATAAGAAGACTAACCTTGTGTAGAAAAAATCCTAATGTAAATGTCATTTTATCAAGAAAGGATATTCTATATAAGAACAGTTTACTTCAACAGCTCAATATATAATTTACTTAGCATAAATTGTTTGTACTATAAAAATAATGTGAGTTTCAAAGCATGTCAAATTGTGGCTGCAGGTCAAATTCATAGAATTTACAAAATAAATACCACAGCTGAATTATTCTTTAATATATTTTTATTTTAAATGGCTATGAACCAATACATTACTGATCAATCTTCAAACACCGAATATACAGATGGCCTTTATTAGAGAGCAACCATAGACTCTAGGTGTGCAGTAAAGTATGTACATTAATTTTGTTCCAGGAACATTTAAAAAACTGGAATAATTCAGGACAGACTACACAGCCAATGTAGAGATGATGTTTTGTGCTTCATAAAATGTATTTGATGTAAACATTAAAAAGCAACTGGGAATAAAACTCAATGCATTATAGAATACTTTTTACAAAAAAGTACCTGTAATCAAGGGGTTATAAAAGCAGATCTAGACAACACAATAATATTCACACAATGGGAGAATATAGCAAGGGCTTAAATAAAATTAGTTTGTAGTCTACACGTGTGATGTAACAGTCTATATTGAGCAGTCCCATAGGATAATGAAACTTTAAAAGATTACTTTACATGCATTTGCTAACAAGAAACAGGAATAATATAAGAGGGCAGGCACACTATATAAATTATACTTGAGAAAAGTAAAAATATTTGTAAATAAACATCTCATGTATTTTGTTTTGGATACTCAAGCTCGGTGATGGTTTCCGCAAACCCTGGCTTTCGTAGCTGTGAACAGGTAGTGAGAAAGGAGGCAGCAATGTTTACCCATCATATTTTGAAGTATATTAAAGTATACAACTGTAAACAATCCTCAACTTGTATTATACAAAGAAATGCTTATTTGTTTTGTAAGAATCTTAAACTTTTTAAACACTCGTAACTCTGTGGGTTGTATAAATAAATCTGCATGTGAGGGAAAAACAAAAACCCTGCACAGGATAAACCATCCAGTAAAATAACAGCTTAATTTGGCAGCAGTTGGTATGTGATAAAAAAAAGTCTTCTGAAGTCCAGAAAGAAATATGGTCAAAAGCAAATGCGATAGCTAGAATTTTATCATTTATGTACTTGCATTTTCATAAAAACACTAGGTTAAGATGTTCTAGGGCACCAAATTAGCAAACCCAATTCTATTATCAGCAGGGAAAAATAGATGGAAGTAGTTTGAATACACCCATATTTTTTGATCGAGTAAAATGTGGTGTAATTTTTCCAACAGAAAAAACTTCAATTTTTGATTTAGTGAACAACTTCTAAAAACTAAAATTGCATTCATTCTCAAAGTTTAAGCATATCAACGAATCCAAACCTAAACTTGTTACCGTTTCTTTCTGAATCAATAAAATTGCTACAGCAACATTTGTTTTGGGTGAAGCTATACCTGTATGTAAAAGGAAAAAAAGACTCTCCTAACCTCAAAAGAATATGAGAATCTCAATAATTAAAGGGAAAAAATAAATCTAAATCATCTATCACAATAGATCCAAATCATCCCATTTTCTGAACTACTAAAACATAAATATCTAACTTCTTCTTCTCTAATTGAAAGCCGTTTATAAAGCTCCAGTACAACTTGCATTAACACAGAAAGTTAAAGGGTACATTTTAAAAGTTTTTATCAAAAGAATACATTATTTAAGGCTCATTTACACTTCAGATTATTTACATTTCTTACAAAGGATTTTTAAAACAGTTTACTTCAAGGGCATTCATTTTGATTCTGGAGCACCTGTTTAGTCATCTTCAGTATTCTGTGGAACTACACATCTGTCACCTAGGCCAATGGAAGGTGAATTTTCTGTTGGTGAAGATGGACCCGCGCTGGACACAGTGCTGGAAGGTCCGCTACTGACTGCATAGCAAAAAAGGCAAGTAAATTCATCTTCAGTGGATTCACACTTATGTTAACTGACCTAAAAGGCAATATCATATTTTTATTGTAGTACTAAAAACATTCACTGCTTGAATAAAGTAAAGTAGCCAACATGGATTCACTACAACATTAATCAAAACAAAGGACCAAATTGGTTCGAGAACACAGGATGAAAATGTTAATAGACAAAATGACAGAATCTAGTGAATAATGTAGTAAATTAGGAAAAATAAATACAGTATAAAACAAACACTAGTCTTTTGATTCCTTTATTTATTCAGACTAATAGCCTACCTAATACAAAGGCTCACCTGGCCCCACCCCCTGAGATCGAACCTCTCCTTTCTCGTTCTCCTTGATCTCCCTGCCATCTTCAACCACTCCCTCTCCACCGTTCAATGGTTTCTCTTCCTGGCCCCTACAGTCACATGGTTCTGTCCTTTGATCCTCTCCTTCTCACCATCTATATCCTCACACAGGTCCATTTCCACATGACACCCAACTCTCTCTCTGCCTCTATCCTCGATTCCAAAACAAATTTTAAAAATATAAAAGCCAGTGTGCTCTACAGTATCAACTAGGTGTCAGCCAGATTCAGTTTGTAGCACTCTCATCTTCAAATCAAATGTGGGGCTCAAGACTCACTTTAAACTCACAATCTTGGATAACACTCCAATACAATGCTGATGGAGCACTGTATTGCTGGAGGTATCATACTTCAGATAAGACATTAAACTGAGGTCTTGTCTGCCTATTGAGGTGGACTTGAAAGATTCCATTGTAGTATTCAAAAAGTGATGGGAGTTTCTCCTGCTGTTCTGTCGCACAATTCCTCAGATAAAATTGTTCATTCACTTCATAGCTGTTTGTGGGAGACTGCTGTGTGAAAATTTGTTGCCTCATTTGCCTATAAAAGTTATTACATTTTACAGTATATCCCATGAAGCAATTTGATATGTCCTCCTGACATGAGACACTATAGAAAATGCAAGGATTATTATTTTTAAAATGCTGATATCATGTACAGAATGTAAATGTCACAAAACTGAAAGTGATATTTATGAAAGGGTTGAATGAAATCAAAATAATTATACAGAAGAATTTTTTTGTATCTTTAAGAAATAAAAATATTACAAGTGTAATTCACCTCTTAGAGAATTGTTTTGTCATATAACATTTCACTCTACTTACAAAAGTTAGTACGGTCACCTGATGGGTTTGATGATAAAGGTAATATTGATGGAAGTATTCTTCTGGGAGTGTATGTATTTAAAAATCTTCTACCCAGATTGTGATGTGCAGAGCCTAAAGGGAAAATAAAAGTATTAATATTAATTCTACACATGACCTTTCATCTTAAAAACACCTGTAATACTCCAGCTAAAACAGTATTTTTGCCAAATAATTTTTTTAAAAATCATAAAAAGCAAAATTTACTTAAACAGATCTAGAATGCAACTTTTTGTTGAACAAAATAAGAATGTATCAGGTATGTACAGATAGACTTACTATCTACCAAATCTTTATTCATGGCTGACCATTCTAAGTATGACTAATAGGGTTAAATATTTGACTAGGTTGTACAATAACTGGTTTTGGTGGTATGTTCTTATAGTGGAAACATTTATAGAAGTGTGTAGTACTCTTACTTAGAGTTCCAGATGGAACCTCGGTAGTGGCTTTGGAAATTGCGGCAAGAAATTCATCCACTTGCTTCAGAGACAGGGAATTGTGAAGGGTTTCAAGAGGGCAAATGGAAGGCACCATAGAATAGAGTTCAAATCCTGTGGAAAAATAAAGCAATTCAATAACTTAAAAATAACAATTCTAAGCATAAATAGTCAAATAAGAAAATTAAAAATGCATGTACATGTAATATGCACAATGTAGACACATGCAGACGGGTTCACAAAATACAGTGTAATGAGACTATATGCCAAATACCTTTACATAAAAAGCATCCAAAAACAAATTGGACACATGCAAGAATTTTCAAATAACACAAAGCCCAAGGCAAATGCACACATTTTTTCTATTTTGCTTGGATTCGTATGCTTTCTCCAGGGTTCGCTGGAAGCCATTGCTAAAGCTCTCCACTTATCCCTCAGTAACCTCAGATTTTGAAATTAGTAATTTCAATGAAACAGCAATTTTGCATTAAGAATTCCCCATAATTTTGGCTGAAGTAAGTCTGAAAACAATTAGGTCAGTTCCATATAACTGCACATTCAATCTCTAAGGCAAAATATTAGCTCTCTGAGAAAGCTATTTCTTCACTAAATTATATTAGATATTCAAAATTAGCTCACATATCAGTTAATATCGGGATCTCAAACATGATATTCACAACCTAGATTTGTTGCATTAATTGTTTTGCCTGGTTTGTAATTATCAAATTGCATTTCATAGCAAGTGAATCATGAATTCCCAATTTTTGCTCGCTGGCTTTTTTGTTTTGAACTTTGTTAACTTGGAATTTGCGATTTAAATTGTCAGAAGATAAGTATTTATCAATGACATATTAAAATAACAAAAAAACATTGAGAATGTGGATGCGATCATTTTGAAATTTGCTATTTATATTAACATATTAGAATAATATTAAATGCTCTATATATATACACCTCAACATACACATTTTAAAAGTACTTTCATTTTAAGAAAGAAAAACTGAAGGGTTGCATTTTAATTGAAGGAATATGGATTTTCAACTTCACGATCAAATCTCAGCTATAATACAATTGTTTTTTTCTATGGAAAAATATCTGATATAGAGTAAAATATTTAAAAAAGGAAAAATATTTTGTTATTATTTAGCTAAAACAAATATTTTATTTTTTATATTGAATTAGCAGATTACCAAATGCCATTTCTAGCTGCTGTTGAAAACTGCTATAGAATCAAATTTTATGCAACCTCTTTCTTTGCATCATATTTAGCTGGTTCTTTTCATCGAAACCCAAGTTCTAGTGGTGGTAGTTCATAGCAATTAGTCTTGGTGAAAACATTCTCTAAAAGTTCTAGAGAATTTTACCAATTCTAAGAAATATAAACAAAACACTTTATGATAAAGGCATTTTTCCATGACAAATATTACAAGAGTTTTCCTGCATCTTAATTATACATTAATAAATCCTATTAATTAATATAAAGAAAATAATTTTGCACTTGGAATCTGGAGCTCTCTTCCCAAAATGGCTGTGGGTGCTGGAACAATTGAAAATGTCAAGACTGATTTTTGTTAGGTAAGGGTATCAAGGGATAAGGAGCAAAGACGGGTAAATGAAGTTGAGATGCAGATCAATCATGATCTGAAAGAATGGCAGAGCAGTCCTGAGGGGCTGAATGGCCTACTCCTGCTCCTATGGAATCAGTAGAATAATATTCCGGGATAAGCTATGATAATTTACAGGGATAAGGGCAAAGGTGAAAGCATGAGTTAAACAGTTCCTTTCACAATTTTTAAAAAAAATTTCAACAAGTGAAATTGAATGTATTTCAAATCTTTCCATCTCCCTCTAACCCCGCAGGTGCTAGTCATGCACTGACTTTAATCAATCCACTTCTTGGCCTCTACCACTGACATTTGTGATGGCCTGCTAGGAGATGCTATCGATTCTCTATGAACGAGGCATCCAAACTCCATTTAATGCTTTCCAACACAAATGCATGAGAACATGGTAAATTACTGGATTAAAATTTTGCAGGATGGGGGGTAAGAAGAGCAGGCAAAAGGCAACTTAAATTTTCTTCATAGCAGTCTGCAGTGTTATGTAATGCTGCAGGACAACTATAATATCAATTTTAGTAATTACTTTGTGTTTTCTCTTTTATCTAACTCTCCCATTGAATACGATGCTCAATGCTGGCCTGATCTAGATATTAGGAAATGCTTAAGAGGATGCTGAAATGACTCCACCTCATAAGTTCACTTCCCCCCAATTTAGTGGTTGCTAAATTTAATTAGTAAGTTATTAATAATAATTCTTGCATTTGATATAATGTGGAAAACATCTCAAAACTGTTCAGGAGCTTGTGTAAAATGTAACTGTATTTGACCATAAAATGACTAAGCTAACACTGCAGGCAACAGCCTTTTTGAAATAACAGGTCAAAAACAACTTTTAAATACATTTCTCTAAAGTACAAAGTGCACAGATATCAGTTCCTTTAATATTATTCACTATTTCTTTATTTTTTCCTTGTTGGGTGCTTCATTCTTCTAATTTGTTTCAGTTTAACAGATTCCAACCAATCAGCATGCAAAAAAAAGTTTCAAGTACAATTTTCATAAGGCAATATAGATCAGTTCATTAAATGAATTTCCATTCCTCAGCCATTTATAATTGGTGACCAATACTGAAGCTAATTTTTAATAGTATTTTTAAAAGTAAAACAATATGAAATGCTGTTCCAGACTTTATTTGGTTTCATAACTGGGCAGAACACAAATATCAAAAATGAACAACAGCTTCATTAATTGTATCTGCCTGTAAACCTTTGAAAGAAGCGAATATGCTCTCATATTTGGTCTCATTCTTGCACTCAGATGCTCTACATAAAAGTGCAATTTCCTCTCGATAAATTTGGAGGAAACAGTTTTACATCTTCATGCTTTACTGAAGAATGTTTAAATATTAAACTTCTCCAATGAGGCAAAAGGTCCCAGTGTCAAATGTACCATGGCCTCCAACTTTTCATATGAAACCCTTATAGCAGGTAGCACAATTATTGAAGCTGGGGGAAAAAAAATTCAATAGGGAGTTATTAAGGGATTTATAAACCCACATGTACAGAGGGAATTACAAATGTCCTTATAATTGTATAATTAACAACGAATGAAAAGGATTGGCAGTTAATTAAATGCTTAATACTTTTTTCTAACCAAATCAATTGAACTTCACTGTTGAAAAGCACAATTTGAGTCACTGCTATGGACAACAAAGTGGTGATCTGAAAATAAAGGATGTTTGCTGTCTGATAAGAAGGTCACAGTTCACCATTTTCTGGCCAGAAGTGGACTTTAAAGATATGCAGTTAAATATTTTCACAATCACTTTGTTATGGAAAGTATGCCCGATGTATAATTTTTGATTTTGTTTTTAAGAATGGGATACATTATGAGAAGACCTCAGTAAAAGGAGGCTTCAAGTTGCTTAGACTCAATACTTCAAAAATTGTAACTTTTTTGTAAGCCAGTTGTCTGACACGTGCGGAAACCCATCTAAATCAAATAAAGTTCCATGCATCCCACCTATACATGGAAATTCAAGAGATTTTTTTTTAGTATTTAATGGGCACTCTCTCCCTGGAGGGACACATTCTGCTTACCTAATTCCATAAAGTATTAGGTGCAGGTTGGCAAGAGCCAAGGCTTGGGGATCGAGGAGTGGGCAAAGGAGATACTGATGGAATCTAACCAGCTAAACCTGCATAGCTTGCCATTGAGAGTACTGCCTGGGAAGCTTTCCCGCGGCTTGGTCCAGCTAGAATCACCCTACCCGTTAAGGCTTTGGGTTGCAGGGTTAACAGGAGTAGAGTGGGAAAATTCCCTATTCCCGGTGAGTGGTCTGCCCTTCCAAGTCCTGCCGATTAGTAGGACGATTAGTCCAGCCTGACTATGTTGTCATCAGCAGTGCCCTGGAGTACTGCGGACCTGGTTGCCTTTGGAAATGAACTACTGAGACAGGCCACAGAGGGTGGGCTCAATTCTGATATTCTGTTGCCAGATATGTCAGCTTCCAATTCAGCTTCAAGGATACCCCCAAGGAGGATAATCACTAGATGGTCATTTGTTGCAAGTTTGAGCCCTCAGTAGTTGGATAGTAGGTACCAGGAACTCCCTGCAAGCTTCCTAGTGGGCAACGCAACTCAGCATAAAGTGTGTGACAGCAATGCTACCATCTTCCTGGTCTGGAGCTTAGACAACATCCCTTCCCACTGAGTGATGTTTCCACCAGTTGGAGGTGCGGAACTGTTTAACTCTGCAAGCCAATCAATGTGGATTCCAGGTGCTGGATGTACGAACGCATGATCACGAACTCGGACTCCATGTAACGCTTTCCAGCAGCTGTCTCCCCAAGCCAGAGTTCCCTAATCAGCTATCTGATGGACATCTGATGCCTTCAGGGTGTGCCCTTCGCTGCTCAGACCTTCAGGCAGTGTCCAGGCAAAAGTTGGTGTCCACCACAATCCCGAGGTACTGATAAGAATCAACAATTCTATACTTCAATCAATACTCTCGATGCTTTCTTTTGAGCCGTGCAGAACCATGATTCCACACCTGAGAGCACCCATCACCATGTTCCACTAGTTGCCCCAGTGCTCAAGATGGCAGGTGCCGTGTAGAAGGTCCCCAGGTGAGTCCAACAGCAGCACAATATCGTCCACAAACAGAAGAACTGCAATCCTGTCAGAAACACCTGGAACAGATACACCAAGTCCATGCCGTCGCTGTCATCCAACACATTGTTGATGAATACATTGAATAGGGTGGGTGACAATTGGTAGCCTTGCCTTCCCCTCCTTTCAAGAGGCTTAATAATAATAAAGATCCTTGCATTTAATTTAGCACTTGCCTTATCACGTCGTCGAGACATCCCAAAGCACTTCACATAATATATTGTAAAGTCAATTGATTGTATATTTTGTGGGTGAAACGTGGCAGCCAATTTCGCACAGCAGTGGCCCACAAATCATCGTGGATTGAGTAACCAAATTATTTTCTATTTATTTTGATGGAATTATTAAATTATTAGAGGGATGGGCTCAGTGAGTTACTATC